GCCACCGGTACCTCTTTTCCATCGGGGAGTTGGTGTCCCAGGACAGCGCCGATGCCATAGGGCGAGGCATCGCATGCTAGCACCACCGGCAGCCTCTCGTCCAAGTGTGCCAAGACCGAGTTTGAGACAAGCAAGTCCTTGACTGCCTGGAATGCGGCCTCCTGGCGCTGGCCCCACACCCAAGGGGCCTGCTTGTCCAGGAGTCTGTGTAGGGGCTCCGCTACCACCACCTTATGGGGAAGGAAGGAATGGTAAAAGTTCAATAGTCCCAATAAGGCCTGAAGTTCAGTCTTGCTCTTGGGCGCTGGGGCATAACAAATGGCCTGTACCTTGTCCCCAGTCGGGTGGACCCCTTCTGCGTCCACCATAAATCCCAGAAAGTCCATCTGAGGCACTCCTAGTAGACACTTTTCCCGCTTCACCTTGAGACCTGCCGTCTGGAAACGGTGCAGAACGGTGCGGAGGCAGTCCTCAAACTCCTCTGGTGTGGGCCCAGCAATCAACACATCATCGAAGAAGGGGGTGACGCCAGGAATCCCTTTAAGAAGAGAGTCCATTAGATTATGGAATATGCCTGGTGCCACGCTGACACCAAATTGCAGCCGCTTTACCCTGAACGCTCCTCTGTGCATCACAATCGTCTGTGCCTCTGCTGTGGCCTCATCCACCGGCAGCTGTTGATATGCTTGGGCCAAGTCCAGCTTGCCAAAAGAATTTGACCCAGCCAGGGTGGCAAGGACATGGCTGACCACTGGCACTGGGTATGCGTGGGCCGTGAGGGCCTTGTTTATGGTACATTTGTAGTCTGCGCAGATGCGGACTGAACCATTAGGCTTGACGGGTGTGATGATTGGGGTTTCCCAGGGGGCATTAGGCACCGGCTCCAGCACTCCTTGCTCCACGAGCCGCTCCAATTCCTCGTCTATACAGGGTTTCAGGGCGAACGGGACCCAGCGGGCCTTGAGCCTGACAGGTCGTACTGCGGGGTCAAACTGTAGAGCAATGGGGGGGCGTATACTGTCCAAATTTCCCATCGAAAACCCCCGGAAATTCCTTGCATATGGCATCCACGTCCACTTGTAAGCTAGTGTGGTTCACCCCGGTGACGGCTAGCCCCAGTGGTCCAAACCATGCCAATCCCAGTAAGCTGGTTTGACCACAAGCAAGTCCAGTTGGCTCGTCCGCCCTCAATATTGCACCCTGAAGGTCCCCACCCCCATTGTGGGGACCTTACGTTTCTGGAAGTCCCGGAGGGTGAATGGGGCCGGCCTGAGTTTGGGACCCCCATTAGGACAGTTTCCTTAAGGTGCTTGCCGAGATTATGGATAGAGTTGAACCTGTGTCAAGCTCCATGCAGCACGGGGCCCCCTCTATCTGTACCTCTACATAAATTTTCTCTACGTTGGGGTGGGGCAACTGGTATACCTGGAAGTCTGTGAGCTCCGTCGAGCTGCCTTGGTGCATTGGGCCCTGGGCCCTGGGGCTCTTGGATCGGTCATCTGATGCCTGGCGTTGGGTGGGCGAGCCCAACACACCCGGGCAATGTGTCCCAATTTTCCGCACTGCCTGCACTCTGCATTGCAGAAACGGCAGGTCCTCCTCTCGTGACTCCCCCCGCAGCTTGCGTAGTTCCCTCCTTCTCGTCGAGGCAGCTGTGGTTGAGTGCGCTGCTGTACTCGGTGCACCTCCTCCCTGTCAGATCCTGAGTCGTCGGTGAGGTCTTTGTGGTGGACCCTCGGTTGGGACGGCAGGCTCGGCCGTGCCTCTTGCGTTGACCTCTCAGCAGCTTCCGTTGCCAGGGCCTCCTCCAGAGCAACCTGGAACGTTAGGTCCTTCTTAGCGTAGAGGCGTCATTGCAGCTTCTCATCCTTCAGGCCACCGACGACGTGGTCACCAAGCATGTTCACCAACTCTGAGAAGTTGCAGAACCGGGCGGCTTGGCGGAGAGAGGTCACAAACCCAGTTATGGTTTCCCCAGGGGCTTGCTGCTTTGCGTAGAAGGCATTTCAACGAGCCACCACTGAGGGCTGCGGCGAGAAGTTCCCCTTCAGCTGTTCCATTATTGTTTTGTATGGAACAGTAGCGACGTCTTCAGGCACAAGGAGAGCCCGGGCGATTTCAAACGTCTCTTCTCCGCAGACGCTGAAGAATATCGCCCTCTTCTTGGCATCTTCTTCGTCGGTGACCCCTTTGGCTTCTAGGAGGAAGGTGAAACAGGAGGCATACACTTCCCAGTCTCCAGATGCTGGGTTGAATGGCGAGAAGCTGCTGTCGGTTGCCATTCTGAGTTCATTGTGTCCCGGAGCTGAAGCCTGGATACACGGTGCGAGGCAGCGGTGCGGTAGGTGGCGGTGCTGCGGTGCTGTGTGTGGCAGTCAGCTCAGCGGGATCCCACCCTCGTCGCCAGTGAAATATACTCAGAGTCGAGAGTGGATTTCATGCTCTTTATTCAGCTCATAGTGGTGAGGAGGAATGAAAGTTCCCCCAAAGTATCTGCTTTATATACATTATTTACACACTGGGCTGCACGTGATTGGCTAATTTCGGAATTCTCCTGTAAGCCAATCAGGTTGTGGATTCACTTCCATCTGGAGCTGGATTGGGTGGCTCCTGCAGACCAATCATACTGCTTCATTGTTCTAGGACCAATCAGACTGCTGCATTCTGAATCCTATTGTTCTAGGACCAATCAGACTGCTGCATTCTGAATCCTATTGTTCTGGGACCAATCAGACTGCTGCATTTTGGATCCTATTCAACTCAGTACGGCATTTTCTTTCTTTCTCTGTCTCTCCCTCTCTCCCCACTTCTCTTTTCCTTTCCTTTTAAGAAGTGGGTGAAAATGGGGGGGGGGAGCGAGGCTTCTGTTTGCACTCTAGTGTAAGTTTCATTGGCATCATTGGCCGAGTCTCAGGAAGATTTACCGCCAGGGTATTGAGTGGAGTGGGTAGATGCCTTCATTAAAATAAAATAAAAATAAATAAGGAACAATGTAGGAGAGGATGCAAAAATTATAGGAAGCACCTGCAGTTTTCTGATAATCATTGAAGAGCAACCGAAGTCCTAGAAAGTAAGGCCCACTGTAGGACTTACTTACGAGTAACAAGCCTAGATAGGGCTGAGCTGTTCGATTTGACAAAAAGGCAGGAGGGTGGGAAGCTAACCCTTAGCAGTCTCAATTGGAGCTTACTCCCAGGTAAATGTGCATATTTCTGGACAGGAGTGCTAAGGATAGCACTGTTAGGCTGCAGCAGAGGATGGCAGCATAACAGTTTAAGCCTACTTAGAAGTAATCACTGCTGAGTGCAATGGAGCTTACTCCTAGAGAAGTAGGTGTACAATTCTGGAGTGGAGTGCCACTGATTTCAATAGAGCTTTTCCAAACTGTGTAAGAACTGTGAGGCTTGTAGAGAAATCACATCTTGCAGGTCAGCTGGTTGGCTTTCTGTTGCAAATGGAATGTGGCTATCTCTGAGTTTGTTTGTTTTTAAACATATTATTTATTTTTATTTATTTCGTGAAATTTCTATACCAAGTGATTGTAACTGCCCTGCCCCCCCCAAACACCCCAAGGCAGTTTACAGAAAGAATAATACAACGAAATTATTAGTGAAAACAATTAAAACATCCAAAGAATTGGAAGCAGCAATAAAGTAAGAACACATCAGCATTCTCAATATCCGCATAAACAAAAATGTTTTTAGCAGGCGGCAAAAGGAGTACAATGAAAGCCCCTTTTCAACAGAACCCATCAAAGCAACTCACCACTCTGACTTCAGAAGCAGATTATAAGAAAAATAGTTGTAATCTTTTGTATTGTTAACCTGTTTTAGGCTGTAAAACTTAACAGGGCTTTCCTCATTTAGCTATTTGCTTGAAATATTTTCAGCCCCCGCCCCCTTCTTCACAAGGGACCCCAGGGTGGGGTGCAGTAGCTCCATTTGAAAAATAATAACTATCAGCACAATGATAAACAGCACTCTTGCATCTGCCCACAAGACAGGATTTTAGGTAGCTCTGAATTTCACAGGTTCCTTATTATCTGAGAGGTACTGTAGCTCTGGATGCGGGGGGGGGGGTCCTGCCTTAAGAAGATCTCCCTGGGCTCAGTAGTTAAAAAACTATTACACTGGCAATGGCCCCTTCGGGGGCAAAGCACTAGAAAGAGTGGCAACACTCTTGATGACAGTTGTTGGGAGAAAGATAGGCGTGGCCCTGCTTGTTCCCCTTCATTGACTGGCAGTTTTCAGTACCATGGTATCCTTTTGGAGCATCTCAGGGAGGTGGGGGTTGGGAACCCTGTGCTTCAGTCGCTCTGCTCCTACCTCCAGGGCCATTTCCAGAAAGTAGATATGGGAGGCTGAGCACCGTGGGAGTTGTCCTGTTGTGCTCAGCAGGGTTTCATCTTGTTCACTAAAGCAGTGGGTGGTGGCGGCAGTGTAAGTTACCAACATCTGAAAAGGACCGTGTTTCTTTTGCTGGGTGGGTGGAGGTTTATTGTTATGAGAAAGTGACCCTCCAAAATTAATAAATTGGAAATGAGTCACTAGGTGCAGACCAGTACTCTAGCAGTTTTTACTTCTGGGTATAGATAGTCCTACAGTCCTTAAAATATCTCCAAAAGACATCTGTGCTGATCATGGAATCGTATACTATGATCTTTTGGTAATACAGTATACAAATACTGTAATCAATCACCTAAATGGCACCACCTGACCTTGGTACGCCACTGAGGATGGCACACTTCTGATTTCTCTTTGGGAAGGGGTAAAAGTGTGCAATCTGCATGCTGCTTTCCCTGGCGTGATCGGTGGTATGTTTTTAGCAGCATGAGACTCCCTAAAAAAAGCTCCAGGGGCAGATCTTTGCACCACGGCACCGCATATGCTAAAGACGGGCCTGCCAGGAGTACCTTTTTTTAAAAAAAGGCCCCAGTGAAATGGGAGGTGAAGGCAGATACCACACATTTTGACAAATGACCTTGCTTTGCCATACACTACCTTGTCGTCGTCTTCACAAGTCATCACATTGGAGAAAGGGATCTCAGCTTTGAACATTTTACGACAATGCATAAGTTGAACCAGCAGATAACATACAGTCTTGAACTTCATTCTTTTGGCAGGCTTTATGTCAGAGAGAATGAGACCAGGAAATATCTGTAAGGATAATAATATAAATATATACCTTAGAATAATTAAATATATAAGCAGCTGTAGTTAATGCATTACAATCAGAATAAAAGTTGGATAGGTTTAATGAACACAAAACAAATATTTGTGACACATACCTTGGGTTTTCATAAAAGAGCAAAATAAAACCATAAAAGATCACAGGGAAGTTCACAACATAAAAATACAAAATGCCCATCGACAGGAGCCCCCCTATGCCCCCAATAAATGGAAAAGCAATAAATCCCCTCACTTCTTTGACAATCAACTTCAACTGCATTTCCAACTGTATTTCCCTAAAAATCCCAACATGCCAAGAGACAGATAATAACATTGGGCTATGCTGCAGGCCTGCCATATGCCAGGGTGGTGAACCTCCCCACTTGGGCCAAAGCCATATCTGCCCCACCTCTCATGGGCCAAATGTGACAGGCGAGTGGGGCAACCTTGCTCCAGGATCACAAAGGGGGCTACACCAAAAGCCCTGCCAAGACAGAACCTGATGCACACCCGGTGCCTCTCATTGGTGGCAAAATGCCTTGTGTTGACCCAGCTGCTGAAATTTCACTGCCGGCACAGTTGCCAATACAAAGCTGACTAAATCTTCTTCTTCTTCTTTGGCAATCCCTCGTAGCCGAGTAAGATTGTCTTCCATAAACACGGTTTTAACCATGAGTCCGTAAGTAACCGTGGAGGCCAATTCTGGATCCATACGTTCTTCCACAGTGGGGACATTGGTTTCTGGGCGGGAGTTGATCACGGTGTGGATTTGCCAAGCGTGCCTTCCTCTTAGCACATTTCTCCCTTGTGTCCTGAGTTTGAGTGTCTTCAGAGTCCATGACACCTTTGGTAAAGGCTGCTCTCCAACTGGAGCACTCGCAGGCCAGTGTTTCCCAGTTGTCAGTGTTTATACTACATTGTCTTTAAACCTCTTTTGTTGACCACCAGCATTACACTTTCCATTTTTAAGTTCAGAATGGAGTAGTTGCTTTGGAAGATGATGATCAGGCATCTGCACAACATGACCAGTCCAACAAAGTAGATGTTGAAGAATCAACACTGGTGATCTTTGCTTCTTCCAGTACACTGATATTAGTTCGCCTGTCTTCCCAAGCGATGTGTAAAATTTTTCGGAGACACCGTTGATGGAATCTTTCGAGGAGTTGGAGATGGTGTTTATAAGTGGACTTCCTATAAGCACTTTCTGATTAACCTACCAAAGTCAGTCATGGGAACTAGTTCATTTAGAGCAGCACTGCCAGTTCTAAGTAGAAGAAGCTCTCCAAGGACTCAAGCTGAGATCTTGCCCAGTCCTGTTCCCCATCACCCTCTAACTGGGAATGCCTTGGTTTGTAGCTTCACACAAATCATGTAAAGTCTTTGTCCATACAAAAACGCTGCATATATTAGCCTGCTGCTGTGTATGCAGTTGTGATTGCGGAGTTTTATGGGGAACTTCTACAATTGTTTTATTGTTTAAATTTTGAGTTAATTTTGATGTGGTTAAATTTGTTACTAGAAGCTGCCTTGAGCTTGGTTTTATCACAGAAAGGTGTCATATATATGGCCAGATAAATGGGATCTCCCACCAACTTATAACCCCTCTCCATAGACAGGATCCTGTGCAAAGAAATAACTCCATTAAAGTGAGAGGGGTCCAAAACCAGCCTCTCCCAGTCTGAGGTCCTGTAGATGTTTGGGAGTTCAGTTCCCATCGGCCTCAGCCATCATTGTCAAAGTTCAGCATCAGGTTCAGCACCAACAGGCCTCAAATAAAATATTTAAAAGTGGTGAATATTTTAGAATCTGTCCTCATTTAAAAGTGTAAATGGTACATGAAAAAGCTTTTATACATTATTGTGTCCACTCTAGATTTAATGAGCCTGCCTTGATGAAGGAGCTTGTTGTCAAAGCAGATTAGAAGAAAATGGGGTGTTACATATAATCCTCCTTTAAAGCAATTGCAGGGCTTGGAAATGGAACACATCCCCAGCCATCTGTTGCTGCTAACGTTGAGTTTCATTCTTGCTGTCTTGCTGAAGTCAGTTCATGTTAATATCAAAAAGAACAATGCACTGAGAATACAGTGATTTGGCCACATTTCAACATTTAGAGGCTCATGGGAAAATAATGCTCTATTAAATCAGCAAGAAATGTGAATGTTCAGACCATGGCTGCTGTGTCTTGCTCAATATAAAGGAAAAACAGTTCAGTCTCCTACTTCTCGTGATATGATGAGGTAGAAGAATACACTGGTCAACAACAAATTTGTTGTCTGCATTTTTTCAGTTGATTTAGGACGGATCTGATGCGCTGAATCCAAAAATCACATTGGTTTTGCTCAATCAGGTCAAGTTTTTGAGCTATGGCACATGTCTTTTTTATGTTTTTGTTCACATGTACGCTTGTGTAGAGCATTTTAGAAGAAGTTGGTGGGGGTAAAATGCCATGTCGAATAATTGTTTTGATTGGAAATGATTATTTTAATGACAAGAAGTATACAGGTCCGATAGTTCTGGGTGATTATGTTGAAAAGGGATCAGTTTGAAGTCATAAAACCTCGAAATCTTCCATAAATTGGTGCGGCAAAGCATAAAGTTGGGGAATCAAAACTAAGTTAATCCTGATCTTCAATCAGCACGTCGTCCTGTAGCTCATTGTGATGAAATTCCAGTGCCTATCTTCGGAGAACTTCCTGACATTAGTGACGAAGATGCCTCCAGTGTTGAAGGACATGACGAAGAAGAAGTGGTTCTTGAAGATGATGCTCCACATCCCATTTTCCCAAAAGGAGTTGAATGTTCTAGTTCGCAACCTCAGCTTGTCAAAGGACTCTGCCAAACTGTTGGCATCCAGAGTGAAGGAAAAAACCTCCTCTCTGACAGTGCTCGCATCAGCTTCTTCCACAACAGACATCAAGAGTACCTCTGTTTTTTCTCAGAAGAGAAGGACTTCGTGTACTGTGCAGATATTGCGCAGCTTCTGCTCAAGCTTGGAGTGCCACAGTACGAACCCAAAGATTGGAGACTGTTCATTGACAGCAGCAAGCGATCACTGAAATGTGTTCTGCTACACAACGGCAACCAGTTTGCCTCTATACCCCTGGCTCACTCGAGTACACTGAAGGAGAACTATGAAGCGGTGAAGTATGTGCTGGAGAAAATTGGTTATGATCAGCATAAGTGGTTTATTTGTGTTGACCTGAAAATGGTGAACTTTTTGTTGGGACAACAGTCTGGCTTCACCAAGTACCCATGTTTTCTGTGCATGTGGGATAGTGGGAACCGTGCTCAGCATTACATGAAGAAGGACTGGCCTGTGCGGGAGGAATTGGTGCCTTGCAAAAAAAGGAACGTCATCAACGACCCTCTGGTGGACAGAGACAGAATAGTCTTCCCACCGCTGCACATCAAGCTCGGCTTAATCAAGCAGTTCACCAAGGCTCTGGACAAGGATGGTGACTGCTTCACTTACTTGTGCCAGGCTTTTCCAGGATTGACCATGGAGAAGTTGAAAGCTGGCATCTTTGACGGTCCTCAGATCCGTCAGCTCATCAGAGATCCAGAGTTCGGAAACTCTGAAGAACTTTCTTGGCAACAATAAGGCCAGAAACTATGCAGAACTTGTCAACAACATGCTGACTGCTTTCAGAAACCTGGGCTGCAACATGAGCATCAAGATGCACTACCTATTTTCACATATGGACCAGTTTCCTGAGAACCTGGGTTCAATGAGTGACGAGCAGGGGGAGAGATTCCATCAGGACATGAAAGAGATGGAGACCAGGTATCAGGGTCGCTGGGACGCAGTCATGATGGCTGACTACTGTTGGACTCTGAAGAGAGCTCTCCCTGCCGCTGAGCATTCCAGGAGTTCCAAGAAACGGAAGTTCAAGCCCTGAAGTTTGAAAAATGGTGAAGCAACATGCAATTTACGTGTACTTACCTTTATCAATGCCCACCATTCAGTTTACAGTAAACCTGACCTGATGGAGAGAAACGGATGCCATTTCCTGATTCAGCAGTACAAAAATACCCTAAATCAGTGTAGAAATCTAGACAACATTCAAAAAGTAAAAAATTGTTGCCCATTATAACAGATTACATAGAAAAACTAAGGAAGTTTGGAAATCAGTCCGCAAGTGAAAAATAACTGTGAAAAGTCTTGGTGCACCAGAATGCACTGCTAAGTGACACAATGACTGATCTAAGGCTCAGTGGAAAAGCAACAGACCAGTAGAATTCAGGCAGCATCCTGCCTTGCCAGCTTCCCAGATACTCCGTTGATGCATCCCAGAGATCTAATGCTGTTAGCCAAGCTGCAAAGGAACATCTGTCGCTTTAATAAATCAGTTGCTGACACAATAATGGAGAGGCTGCTCTTTGCTTTTATGCAGTGATGATAGATGATAGCAGCAGCTCCTCTCTGGGTGGGGTGTGCATTCCTCAGAAATAGGAAGAAGCACATCAGCTCTTTGACCCGTGCACAAGTAACAAACATGGGGCTTGGTGATGTCTTCTCATGGTCCATCCTAAGCTATTTCCTTCAGTCCCAACACCATTCAGTCTCTTTGTCTTCCTTCTTTCCATGGGTTTCTTGTGGCTCCCTTATTCTTCAAGTCTCTTCTGCTTCTGTCTTTAATAATGTTTTTTTTATTAATTTTAACATATAAATTATAAAATGTACCACAAAACTTATCACTTATACAATCTTTTTGGACTTCCATCAGCACCTCTGATGATCCACCATTTTAACCACTTCTTATGCATTTCTTAACTTTATATTGCCTTTACATCTCTTAACAAATCATCCTCCCCCTTATCCATTTTTACAATACTTCTAATAATACTCCTCACAAAACTTCTTGCAACCCTACAAACATCATCTGTTCTTCACAATTACTTTTCAAATAATCCATAAATTTACTCCAGTCTTCCGTGAATTTCTGGTCTCGCCGGTTTCGAATCCTTCCTGTTAGTTTATCTAATTCTGCATAGTCCATTAACTTCATCCTCCATTCTTCAATCGATGGTAACTCTTCTTGCTTCCATTTTTGGGCCAATAATATCCTTGCTGCTGTTATTGCATATAAGAAGAGCTTACATTCCTTTCTATTTATATCACTCCCCACAATGCCCAATAAAAATGCTTCTGGTTTCTTTATAAATGTATATTTCAACATTTTTTTCAACTCATTATATATCATCTCCCAGAAGCATTTCACCTTTTTACATTCCCACCACATGTGATAAAATGTTCCCTCTTTTTCTTTACATTTCCAACATTTATTACTGACTTTATACATTTTTGCTAACTTAACAGGTGTAATATACCATCTATACATCATTTTCATCACCTCTTCTGCTTTTGTCATTTGCCTCTGAGACCCCCAACAATAACAGGCATATAATTCCACAAGAATTATTAGCCTGAACACAGCTTTGTACTGGCCCATCTGCTTAGGCCAGTAGTGGCCAAACCCAGCCCTCCAGATGTTTTGAGACTACAACTCCCATCATCCCTAGCTAACAGAACCAGTGGTCAGGGATGGTGGAAACTGTAGTCCCAAAACATCTGGAGGGCCAAGATTGGCCACCACTGGCTTAGGCAAATCTGTGTCAGCTAGTCATATGTAGCCTAAAAGAAAACTGGAAGCAATTTTTGAAAAACTCCTCTGTCAGACCACTTGAAGGTAATTCCTACTTGCTGTAATTAATCAGGAGAGCAACTATTTACAGGCCTTGATATAAGATAGTATCAAAAGCGAATAACATAGGCATTCTACATAAAAATACATGGCAGAATTTAAACAAGGCCTCTGTCTATCTCCACTGAAACCTACAAAAACTGTGTTGTCTGCCCTACGACAGCTTATACATAAACCCAGCCAGATAGGTGGGGTATAAATAATAAAATTATTATTATTATAATACTATACCTTTACCTTTTTTACTATACAATACAAATACCTTTATTTGTATATTGAGAACACACATTCCTCAAATTAAGGTAGCTTTGTCCTCAACCACAGGGGAGCTTTGTGTTCCCTCTCCCACACAGTAGTTTCCTATGAAAAGGTGTAGCTTAGCAGCCAGATAACTGAGAGAGGCTCACATAGCACATACCTGACTGCCTTTGGGGGGCTAGGCGCATTTCTACCAGGGGTGAATCTGGGCTTTATTTCACCTGGGTCAAAGACACAATTTGGTACCCCCCCCACACAACTGCACATTTGCACACAGGCTGGGAGCCTCAGTGCTGCCTTCTGTAGGCTTTAAGGTAAAGGTAAAGGTACCCCTGCCCGTACGGGCCAGTCTTGCCAGACTCTAGGGTTGTGCGCTCATCTCACTCTATAGGCCGGGAGCCAGTGCTGTCCAGAGACACTTCCGGGTCACGTGGCCAGCGTGACATCGCTGCTCTGGCGAGCCAGAGCCGCACACGGAAACACCGTTTACCTTCCCGCTAGTAAGCGGTCCCTATTTATCTACTTGCACCCGGGGTGCTTTCGAACTGCTAGGTTGGCAGGCGCTGGGACCGAACGACAGGAGCGCACCCCGCCGCAGGGATTCGAACCGCCGACCTTTCGATCGGCAAGCCCTAGGCGCTGAGGCTTTAACCCACAGCGCCACCTGCGTCTGTAGGCTTTACCCAGGCCAAAAAACCTAGCTAGCTCCCCCCCCCGTAGCTACAGCCCTGTTTCTACACATCTGTGTTTACCCCCATCTTTTCTCATCATCAAAGCAGAATTTACACACACACCTCTAAAAGTTTTCCAAACCATTAGATAGCTAAAGATATGAAAAACAGCATTGTAAAGCACTGTTGGACAGAGAAACGCCCAGCTGAAAGACGGGGCTATCCAAGGCAGGCATTGCTTACAGAAGCATAAAAGGAAGCTCCCCACAGGTCCAGCTATCAGAACACGCATCACCCCAAAGGTCAGTTGTCCAAACACAAATATTTATGCCCAAACCTTGCAATACAAACAGCTAGTCTGCCCAGTTCCTTACTTTTAAGTAAGCCCATTGTACACAATTGCTGCAGATGAAACATCATTTTAAATGTGATGTTTTATGTTCTTACAAATATCCTTACAAATATCAGAAAGACTTGAAAAGACACCATGCTCACATGCTGAAATGTAAAAACAATGATAATTATAATGCTGATGATAATTATAGCCTCAGACACTCTTGGTGGCTTCCAACAGATATAAGAACACAATAAAACATCAAATATTAAAAATTTCCCTATACAGGGCTGCCTTCAGATGTCTTCTAAAAGTTGTATATTTATTTATCTCCTTGACATCTGATGGGAAGGCCCGCTGCCTGGTTCCCTGTAATTTCACTTCTCTCAGTTTTTAAAGATATGAAGTCAACATTTAAGGGCACAATGAATGATTTCAGTGTGGTTTGCACAAGAGAACTTTCAGGTAAAGTGTTCTGTAAAATACTAATCTAATAAAAATAGGAAAATGATGGATGAATGTTACTTCCTGGCATCATGCTTATTTTTTATTTATTTCAAGTATTTATATACTGCTTTTCAGTATAGAGAAAAGATCACAAAATGGTTCACAAAGAAATCAAACAAATAAAATACAATATATACTCCCACTCACTCAATAATCACACAAATTCTCTAAGTGTCCACAGTGTTCACAGTGAAAGAGATTGACCATCTAACTGACATGGAGTGTTTTAGCACAGCTTTTCCTGTTCAATTCAAATAGAAGTTCAGCTCATGGATGAAAATTCACGTGAATCGTTTATGATGTCACAACACCATAGAAGAATCAGACCACAAAGCCTATGCAGTTAGCAGCCAGAATGAAAGACATACCTTCCTCCGGTGAGATGGCACAATGAAAAAGGTCTCAATATTATGCTTCTTCAAAAAACTGTTCCTTTCATGGCCATAGCCTGGTTCTACCTCGTAGTCCCCATTCAGGCACTCTAAGGTGGTCTTTGTAATATGCACTTTCCTAGAGATTAGGTGGGAGTAGGCAAGAAAAAAGACAGTGCCTTGAAACATCATAGGCTTACTTACTCTGCGGTACATAAAAGCTTCTGCTAGGTCACAATTTTTTTCTAGCCTATGTGTATACACACACACACACACACACACACACACACTGAGCGTGAAGAAGGCTAAACCCCAATCCAAATCCTCAACTGGTTTGGGTAGGGAAATCTTGGATTTTCCCAAAAAGATTGTCTCATCCAGTTTGGTCCTAGCACCAAACTGATAAATGTTTGCAACGGATACCCTTTCAACAGAGTTGGTGGCATATTAACACACTGAGAGGCATGGAGTCTTGATATGGTGCTGACAATGGGGCCACCCCTCTGACATTTGCAGATGCCACAGGCTTTTCCTGCAAGAATTCACCACCCTTCACTGGGGCCCTGAATACCCTTCAGCAAAGACGTAGCAAGTGTCACTGGTGCCTGGGGTGCATACCACTGGTGCTGCTGGAGTGACTCCCTGCCACCCAGCAGAGCTGCGCTGCACACCTGCCCAAAGGGCACACCCACACTGCCCTGCCAACTCCACGCTGTTTTGCAAGGCTGCAAGGCTGCGTGAAGAGCATGCAGGGGGCATGCGCCATTCTGGTTCTCTTCACACAGTCCTGCAGCATCACAAAGCAGCTCTGCCAAGTGTGCTCCTTGGGAACATGTTTGTTGTGCCCACCAAGGGCCATGGGGAGCAGGGGCACAGTGGAGCAGGGCTGGCAGGGCATTGAGGAGCAAAATTCACCCACCAAAAAAAGCACCCTCCCAGGGTACCCACCCCTCTGGCCCTCCCCACACGACACCACTGGGTGGGTGGCAGAACTTCAGGCTGAGACTTACCCAGGCAAGCCTCCAGCCTCCATTACATTAGCCAGAGTCACATCATTTGACCAAACATCATACTGCCATTTGCGAAGGCCCAGGACACCACAAAGCACCCTTCCTGTGTGCAGGCCGACCCTCATGTTGAGATCTACTTCAGTGGCTTCAGCTACTGATCTAGAAAACACAGAATCAGAATGCAGTACATTAGAGAACATTTGTTATCATCTTTCCCCTTTCTGTTCCCCACAAAGGTAAAAGCTTCAATGTATGCAATACTATGAGGCCAAAACACCCGACTTATTTTCAATTCCTTGGATGTGGACCACGTAGTAATGAAGATTAAACTTTGTGTTATCTTTTAATCTTTTTAGGATGGCCACAACGTTTCAAGACTTGATTACTGCAATGCACTTTATGTGGGGCTACCCTTGTGCTGCACCTAAACAGTTGATAGGGACAGACAACTGTCTGCCCATGTGGTACCAGGTCAGAAACCTGGCTCCATGATAGTACCACCTGAGCCCCTTTATCCCTGCCCAATTGCTGAGATCTTTGAGGTTGTCTCTGTTGGTGGTCCTCCAACTAGAAGCTGTGCATGTAGGGTTGTGGGCCCAGGCGTGGACCTGTCTCTTGATTGGGATCAGACAGACACTCTCCTTGCAGAACTTCAGGTATATGGCAAGGACTTTCTTATTCCAGTGGGCGTTTTAAGGTAGTGTTCCATCTGAAGGCAGCCCTGTTTAGGGAAGATTTTAATGTTTGATGTTTTATCATGTTTTTAATATTCTGTCTAAAATGGTTTATTCATGATTGGCCCAAACACTGTCCTTCCTACAAGGTAGCAGGCAGAAACTTTTGCAATTGCCTCATCAAAGAGACTAACACACCAAAGTCAGAGTCTGACTCCTTGAGTTCTGGTGAAACCTGAACACCCACATGGAAATTGCTCACAATATTAGTCTTCACAGCCTAACAATCAGCGAAAGTCCATATTGCCACATGAGATTCCTGGTCTCCTCTGGCTGGAGGTTGCAGACATCTCTGACCCATAGATCTTCAGATGCACCATGAGATGTTCCCAATGACACAAACATCTCTGGAGAGGACAGAAATGCAGTGTCTCAGAACTGTGCTGCTCCACCTGAGCTCCCAGAAGTGATTGGAGATATTCAATAGACAGTCTCTCAAACCAGATGTGGTCAAGTCATCCACCACCCTCCTAAATTTGATCACTTTGTTATGGGGAGTGGTAAAAGACTTTTCCTCAATGAGGAGTCACATTTGAAGCTCTGACTCCAAGCATTTTTATTCCAAACTGGAAGATAGTTGAAATATATTTTAAAAATATAAAAAATTGTCCAGTAGCACCTTAGAGACCATAGAATCATAGAATCATAGAGTTGGAATAGACCACAAGGGCCATCGAGTCCAACCCCCTGCCAAGCAGGAAACACCATCAGACCAACTAAGTTTGTTCTTGGCATGAGCATTTGTGTTACTGGACAATTTTTTTATTTTTATATATATTTCTACTGCATCAGACCAACATGGCTACCTACCTGAATCTGGAAGATAGTTGTTCACATTCCTGTAAGTAGGAAAGGATGTAGCATATATGACCCATTTCTTTAAAAGGTTTGGAAGCTCTCCTTCCTCCTTGGATGGGTGTTGTTTCCTCCTTAATCCAGTTAGAATTGGCTTGGGCATGGGTGCTTGTGTGTTGTTTACTGAACATTTTTGAAGCTCCCTTTGATCCCTGCCGCTTCTTGGTCTTAGGATAGGCATGCAGAAACAGCATCTCTGAGAGTGACTACTTTTCCTCTGGACCAACATCAATAAATAAGGAGATGCTACTGCAGGGGGGAGGCAGGCCAGGAGGAGAGATCATCATGGTCCCAAACTATAGTTTCCCATGGCATCTGAATGGGAGCAGCTCCCAGCTCTGCTGTATCAGCTGGTGATTGTGGAGAAGGAACTTTTCATTCACCTCCTGGAGACCCTGAAAAGGACTATGTGTGTTCTGGTATGCGTGGGAGTGTGGGGTGGCCACACTCACCACTGACATGCGACCCCTGGACTGCTTGCTATGAAACAATGTGGGCCTTGGGCCAAAAAAGTTGAGCCACTCCTGCTATGGAAGGATGCAAGCCCGTGAAGAACTTACGTGATGGTGTCAATCATATCCAATCCCATTTCCACACAGCAGTGGGCATGATCTGTTTTGGGCTGGGTCAGTCCTGACACACAGTAGTAACAGTCCCCTAAGATTTTTATCCTTCTGCAATGATTTTCCTAGAGAGAGAGAGCGGGGGGGGGGGGAGATGTTTTTACTGTGGCAGTGCATGTCTCTACACTTCTGCATAACATGTTCTCTAATACAGTGGTACCTCGGGTTAAGAACTTAATTCGTTCTGGAGGTCTGTTCTTAACCTGAAACTGTTCTTTTTTAAAAAAAATATTTTATTAAATTTTCTTTCAAATAGTCAGAAATTTACAGAATAAAGAGTATAGAATAAAGATAAGAAAAGAAAAAATACATAAAAGCCAACTTTTCAAAATACTTTAACCGTTCCAACCGGACTTCCCCACATCTTCCGAATCCTGCGTTCTTTACTATTAAAACATCAGCAATTTGTTACCTTATTTCATATCTTACTGTATCTTTCAAATACTATGTTTCTAAATTCAAAATACTGTATCTCAATTATTTGTACCTTAAAAATAAACATAGTATGGTTGTTTCATATTGTCCACCTCGTCTTTCTTATAACTTAGTTTCCAATTCACCTATTCAAGTTGCTGAAGCATAAGTTTCCTAATCGTACACATTCTTAACATTCATACAGCTTATATTGTTTTTGCAAATAGTCCTTAAATTTTTTCCAGTCCTCCTCCATTTAACCTGAAACTGTTCTTAACCTGAAGCACCACTTTAGCTAATGGGGCCTCCTGCTGCCGCTGCGCCGCCGCCACATGATTTCTGTTTTCATCCTGAAGCAAAGTTCTTAACCCGAGGTACTATTTCTGGGTTAGCGGAGTCTGTAAACTGAAGCGTATGTAACCTGAAGTGTATGTAACCCAAGGTACCACTGTACTACTCCCATAGCTGTATCACAACCCCCCTGATATGTGCAGCCTTTGGCTTAACACATTAGAGTTCAATTACAACTGAAACTATCAGACAGGTTCCACATACGTTTTCATATGCACTGCACAGAACTGCAGTGTCATACGGGTACCGGCACCTGTGCATATTCATCCTATGAATTTTAGGATTTATGCTTGCCTTCCCTTTCTCTTCCTCCTTAATTTCCCTTTGGTTGAAATTTAAATTGTGAGCTGTCTGGAGCAAAGTATATGTACACAGAAACTTTGGCTGCTGCTCTTTTTGGAGTATGGGGCTATTCCAAAACTCCTCTATTTTTCTACAAGAATTGAGTAGGAATAGCACAAAACCTCTTCCCTTTAGGCTCACTTTGCAAGTATAGCAATGACAATACAATTTTTCTGTATGCAGCAATGTAAAAGTCTGGAATAATTGCATTTGCAACAATTTGTTTCTCACTGCAAGTCCACATGTTTTTCAGGGCAGTTCTAACGTCTTTCTCCAACACGGCATACAGTAGTCATGTTTTCTCATTGCTGATACCATGCATTGAACTAAGTAGCATATATTTTTCCAGGCGTGCCTGGAGTTCTTCAGCAACCACTCACTCAATCAATCACCTTGCCCAAGAATGGAAGATTTGAGACTGGGCGATAGTTGGCCATATTGGACACGTCTAAAGATGGTTTTCTAAGAAGCGTTTTGATAACCGCCTCTTTCAGCAGGTCAGGGAAGGCTCCCTTACAGAGAGAAGCATTCACCATCCCACTAAGCCCATTGCCCAGCCCTTCCTGGCTAGCTTCTATAAGCCAGGATGGGCAAGGATCAAGCAGACAAGTGGTTGGTTTCACTCGTCCAAGCAGCCTGTCCACATCCTCGGAGGTAACAGATTGGAATTGATCCCACGCAACTTGACTAGACAGGATTCTAGCACTCTCCTGCCCCAGCCCTGCTCCCACGGTAGAGTCTACCTTTTACCAAATCTGAGTGAATTTATCTGCAAAAAACTTTGCAAAATCATTGCAGGAGATCATGTGGCCCGTACTGGACCCCAATGGAGCAGATGGTTCCGCTAAATTGTGAACCACTTGAAAGAGTCTCCTGCTGCTGTTTTCCGTGGATGCAACAGAGGCGGTGAAGAAAATCTTCTTTGCTGTCGCTATTGCCACTTGGTAGACTCGGCATTGAGCTTTAACCGGTGTCTGGTCAGCTTCAGAATGAGTTATCCACCACTGGCACTCTAACTGTCTCAGCAATTGTTTCATTGCCCTCAGATCCATGGAAAACCACAGGGCTGTCCAGGCTCCATGCAATCGGAGAGGGCACTTCGGAGCCAAACAGTCAATAGGTAAGGTAAAGGTACCCCTGCCCGTACGGGCCAGTCTTGACAGACTCTAGGGTTGTGCGCCCATCTCACTCTAGAGGCCGGGGGCCAGCGCTGTCCGGAGACACTTCCGGGTCACGTGGCCAGCGTGACATCGCTGCTCTGGCGAGCCAGAGCCGCACACGGAAACGCCGTTTACCTTCCCGCTAGTAAGCGGTCCCTATTTATCTACTTGCACCCGGGAGTGCTTTCGAACTGCTAGGTTGGCAGGAGCAGGGACCGAGCAGCGGGAGCGCACCCCGCCGCGGGGATTCGAACCACCAACCTTTTGATCGACAAGCCCTAGGCATTGAGGCTTTTACCCACAGCGCCACCTGCGTCCCGAAACAGTCAATAGCCCTGGTTAACTCCACATTCCAGTGGGCCCCCAGGGAATCATCTGGAAGGCCATTAACATGGTATCCCCTACCACTCTCTGGAAACCATTTGGATCCATTAAGTGGCAGGGGTGGACCATCCGAATCAGTCCCACCTCCCTGCAGAGGAGAACGGTTGCAGAGAAGTCCAGTTGCACCAGGAAGTGATCTGACCATGGCACTTCTTTTGTTTCACTTTTACTTAGTGTCAGATCACCAACATCCATAGAGGTGAACACCAGGTCTAAGGCATGTCTGCAGCTATGAGTCGGGCCAGACTTATTCAGGCATAGCCCCATGGAGGCCATGCTTTCCACAAAGTCCTGAGCAGCCCCTTGTAAGGTCATGTTGGCGTGGATGTTAAAATCCCCTAGGACAACCAAATTAGGTGTCTCCAGGAGAATATCTGCCACAACCTGAATCAGCTTGGCCAGGGAATCCTTGGTGCAGCAGGGAGGTCTGTACACTAAAAGGAATCCTGTACTGCCCCTATTGCCCAGCTTCCAGAACATGCACTCAGAGAACTGGGTCTTCCCAATAGGACGCCTGGTGCTAACTAATGACTTCCTAAAAATAACTGCAACCCCCCTCCCCGCCCACAAGGCCTACATTGCTGTGCATAAGAGAAAACTTGTGGACAAACAGTGGAAGGACAAGCCCATCTGCTTCATCCAACCAAGTCTCTGTTACACATGCCCGGTCAAGTCCTCCATCCATGATCAAGTCATGGATGGCAGTGGTCTTATGAATCCTTGACCTGGCATTGCACAGCAGTACCTTCAGGTCATGTGGGTCTCCCTTGCTGATTCCAGTATCCGTCTGGTCAAGACCAGACCCGGAGGCAGGGATAGTCCTCAAACAACAACTAAACCTGCCTCCTCGGTAGTGACATGTTCTGGTCTTAGCATAACTCCTCCTCCTACCCGTGATCACTGTGATTGGTTGTCCCAGTGCATCCCCCCCTGTGGAACCTGCCCCAGCCATTTTGTTGGCTGGGACCCACTCCCAGGCAGCCTTTACCCCTCCCCTTAAAATCAAATTAAAACCTATACAAAAAATAAAAAATAAAAAACCAAAACAGTAAAAGTTACAAGCATACCAAAATTAAACAAATTCCCAAACCCGACTAAACATCCATCCCACCCCCCACCCCCAAGGCCTCCTTGGAGTCTTATAAGCTGTGGTGGTGAGTATGGGGCCTCCCCAGGCCCAAGGTGGAAAATGGGCTTCAAGGGGGAGCGGTCCTCCCCAATACTCACTAGCAGAGCAACAGCAGCAAAGTCTTCAAATAACAAATGAAATAACTCAGCACATCTGTGTAGCTTTAATTACTCTCTTGTGGATACAATCTCATGGTTTCAGAGCACATAAAAGGAAAATGAGCATGGAAATGGGGAATTATTCAAATTGTTACAATGGATTGCAAGGAACAAGATTTAAGCAAAACTCTAAAGAGGTACCCGTATTTTTCAGTCTATAAGATGCCCCCATATATAAGACGCCCCCTATTTTGGGGGACTCATGACCCCACGTATAAGAAGCCCCCTGATTTTTGACATTATTTTTAAGGAAAAAAACCTAGTCTTATACACGGAAAAATACAGTACATGTTCGTAACCTTTAATTTAGCTACTAAGATGAAATTTGCAGGTATGCATGTGCTGAAGGACAAGGTTCACAGGAGTAGGAAGAGAAAAGAATGAGACATTAATCTGGTAGGAAGCTGAAGAGACTTGGGGCACAGGTAGTCTTTTCATCACTCCTTCCCATTGAAGGTCATGGCCCAGGAAGAGAGAGGAAAATAGTTGAGGTATACCACTGGCTGTGAAGGAAGGGTTTGGTTTCTTGCAACATAGTCTCCACTTCCTTGAAGAAGGACTTCTGGAGACAGATGGGCTGCATCTCACAGCGGTTGGCAAGAATGTGTTTGCTAAGAGTCTCATGAACCTAATCAGGAAGAGTTTTTATACTATATCTTGAGGGGGAGGGAGACAACATTACAAGCAACAGAAGAACACCTGGTACTGGGGATAGTAGCTTTACTGATGCACAGTAAACTGAGGTGGTATTCCAGATACATGCTAAAGGGCAAGAAATTACAGGAAGAAAGCAGTTAGAGGGAATGACTCATGGTTTCAGTTTTCTCTAAATGCCCAGAGACAAGCAAGATGAATTGGAGCTTTTAGTACAGGATGACAAATATGACCTGGTAGGTATTACTGAAACCTAGTGGGATGAAACTCATGAATGGAATGTAGGAATTGAGGGGTATAACCTGTTCAAAAAGAATAGACCAAACATGAAGGGAGGAGGAGTAGCATTTTATGTACGTAAAGGATGTGTACACTTGTGAAGAAATTTATGACTTGGAGCATGGAAAGCAGATTGAGAGTATATGGGTTAAAATTGTAGGAGAGAGAAACAACAGTGACCTTACTGTGGGTGTCTACTTCTTCCACCTTCTGGGCAATGAAATTGTCAGTGAGGCAATGAATGAATTTGTTGGACCTTACATTTTTGGCAGAGTTTGAGTTCCAACAGATATTGGGGAAGGTGAAGTCTCCCATGACTTCTATTTCTCTCCTTTTTGCATGTTTGGTAATCTGCTCTAAGAAGGCTTCATCCAAATCTTCAGTTTGGCTTGGCAGTCTATAGCAGACACCCACTGTTATTCATGCTGTAGAGGGCTGGGAAATCATGCAACTTCTCACAATGTTATTCCAGTACTTTGATGGGGATGATGACACTGGCCAGTAATTGTGCTGCCTGATGACTGGCTCTTGGCTCTACACCTTGCCAAACTCCATGCACTGCAACCAATGCAGAATGAGGTCACTAGAAATCCACTTGAGCCTGCACGATTCATTACTCCCACATACCACACCCCCACTGTGTGTTGAACACACAACAAGGAATTCATAGAATCCTTGTAGAGTTGGAAGCGACCATCATGCGGAGATGAGAAAATCCAGACTTGCTGAAATTCTTGCTTCTACACTACTGTTACAGGAACAGAATGCTTCTCCTTTATCTGGTCACACACACGCAGCTGCACAACATTAAAGGTAAAGGTACCCCTGCCTGTACGGGCCAGTCTTGACAGACTCTAGGGTTGTGCGCCCATCTCACTCTATAGGCCGGGGGCCAGCGCTGTCCGCAGACACTTCTGGGTCACGTGGCCAGCGTGACAAGCTGCATCTGGCGAGCCAGCGCAGCACACGGAACGCTGTTTACCTTCCCGCTAGTAAGCGGTCCCTATTTATCTACTTGCACCCGGGGTGCTTTCAAACTGCTAGGTTGGCAGGCGCTGGGACCGAGCAACAGGAGCGCACCCCGCCGCGGGGATTCGAACCGCCGACCTTTCGATCGGCAAGTCCTAGGCACTGAGGCTTTAACCCACAGCGCCACCTGCGTCCCTCTGCACAACATTACAGTACCCCTATGAAGTATTTTACCAAGCTTGTCCTGCAGGCATAATATTTCTTTATGTGGAAAACGTGGCTATATTTAGAGAAACATAGATGCTTTGGATGGCCTAACTTGGCAACTACCAGGTTCAGTACTATAGCTGGAAATAATTCATTAAGCAAACAGTCATTAACAGCCAAGTTAAAAAGTCATATTATCCTTGAAGATGAAATAAACTGACAAAGTGGGCACAAATGGTAGCGTCTTGTGATTTTCATCTTCCATTCATGAGGTGGTGAGTACAGAACTGGCAAATATTACTTCACCCAGTTCCTAACCTTAAACTCTACCAGGCAGCCTAACTTGCAGGCTCCTAAGACTTGGTGAGGGACGCACCTCAAGAGGCAAGCTGGGGCAGCTGCTGGGAGGACAGTCAGATCCGGTTGCCGTATTTCAGAATCAGGACACCCCCAAAGTTGTTTTCTATTTTCATTTTTTTTACAATAATGCCCCCAAACCATGATTTTTCAATTGACTTGCCTAAGATCCAAGACAAAATGCCACCTTTTGGAATTTCCCAACAGATATCAATTCCGCCTTTGAAATCCCATTAATGGCAGCTCTACTCTAGTGATGATGAAACGGTTGGTGATGAATTACTCGTAAAATGCCAGCTCTAATTTCTTTTTCTTACCACTTTCTTACCACTCTGTTGCTGAAATCCAAAACTATAAATGATTTCACAGAAACCTCAGGGATGTGTGGTGATTCATGGGCCTTATTGTGGGAACTAGATTAGCAATCAGTCTATTTCATGCCTTAGATGTGCATAATCTCTGACATACACACAAACCACATTGTTAAAAAATCAATTCAAAATAATTTTTAAAAGGAAAAAGTACATGCTTACGGTAGCCAATTCATCAAACTTCCCAAAGAGTTCATTCAGAAGCTTCACCAATTCTTGAGCAGTGCATTGCGATGCCAAGCTGGTGAATCCCACAATGTCTGCAAACAATATGCTACAAAGAGAATAAAGGAAATGCAGAGGCATTAGCAGTGTTTATCCCAACATATTTTTGGAAGGATTGCAGGTGAAATATAAGGCTAAGTAACAACGCAAATCACTTTACTTAATTTGCAGTCTTCAATGACTTTACATTGGGGCAGACCCATGCAATGGCCCAGAGCAGCCTCTCTCAACCTGGTGTCCTCCATATGTTTTCACTATTGCTCCCATTATCTCTCCTTCTGCCTGTGCTGAGTGGGCTGGAGGGAGCTGTCTGAAGTCCAGGAAGGACAGCAGGCTGCCTCATGGTGGCAAACCAGTTGGTGCAAATTACTGCTTCATTATGTGTTACATGTAGCATACACAGATATACAGTGACAGAGGTCTGTCCTAGTCCTGGGCTGCAGCCTACTTTCCTGTCCCTTGGTTAATTCCAAAAACAGAGCCGAACAAGCTTGCCATGCCTCATCTCAGACTAACTAGGAAAGAGGCAGGGCAAGAGGGAAACCACTTGGATCAGGGCCTTCTGGCCATGGGACAAACAGAGGTTTCATTAAGACAGAGGTTATTACGTGGACACTGCTTATAACTTGGGTGCCAAATCACATTCCCAGTCTTCTAACGACAGCAGCGAAAGGGGGCTTCCCAAACTAGAAGCATACAAATGCCCTCAACTCTCACCAACCTGCTGTCATCTAAAGCGAAAAGGGTTTGCATTAAAAGGATACTTTGAAAATTGGGCTTTAAACTTCAAACTAGTTTACAGTCTGAACGTCGATCCAAATCTGCCTCCTTGAGCATACCCCTCACACACAGTTCTCTGTTTTCGCCTCATAGGCTCCCTCCTCTCCTCCAGGTCTTGTCCTGCCTCTTCCTTGAGGGACAAGTGAGCCACAGCTGTTCAGTTAATGAACAAGATCTGATCAGATCTCCCTGATCAGAGAGTGTGTCAGCACGAGGCTGTCCTCCCCCCCCCCGATAAATTTCAATTAATTTTCAATTACATTCCAATCGGCCTCATTATAACAATGCCAGTTTATAATACAATTATTAATACCAATCATTTAAATACCAAATTATATAATTTATTTAAAGTGGCCCCCCAGATGCTAGATTTGATGGCTTTCTGGTTCTCTTTATTTCTGCGGTCCAAAATCTTATTAGTTTCAATTACATTCTAGTTATAATAATAATCCCTTATACAACAACTGCAGTATTAATAACTTCTGTTTGTGTTGTCACACTAAATGATTTATGAAACTTCAAGTGAGGGACTCAAACTATATCCTTGTTCTTCCTGTGTGCGGCAATTATTCTGTCCGTGGTGTTTCTTTCTGTCCTTGTAAGATGTTATGTCTTTCTTTCCCCTGTTTGTTACTGCTATCCATCGTGCCTTGGGTGGAGATAATATCCCATTGTTGTTCCAGAAGTTTCTCCATCGCTCTGTCCTGTGCTTCATTGTTTTGCACCGAGAACTTTAACAACAGATGCAAAAGTCGCTCTGCCTTGGTAAATAAACTGTTGTCACTATTTTTTCCCCTCGCCTGGGAAGAAGAGTCGGATATATTGCAGATGACTCAATATAGAACCTTATCAGTTCCTTGGCAGCTCATAGACTCCTTTCATCCTTCCAGGTAGAGATATATGGCCAATTATCCTTCCAATTAAATTAAATTCCAAGTCCTCTTAGCGTTATTCAATTCACTTTGTAGATAATAAAGGATGGTGAAGTGTCAGCTCTATGTTTCCATTGTAAAACTTTTGCAAAATAGAGCTTCCCTCCCTTTCCCCCTTTTTTACACACACAGTTCCTTTTGATGTTATCATCCATATTTTTAATCCAATTTCTTCCATCCTCATTTGTACAAGTATAATTTGAACTAACATTCAGGGGAGGGTTGCCAAATCATAACTGTAGAGAGAAAAACTTTAAACAAACAAACCGTAGGCTCCCCACCCCATCATCTTTTGCACCGAATGAAGTCTTATCTCAAATTCAAACCTTAAAATCCTTGCAGTTGGTTTGTTCCACAGTTTGTGATCTCATCTCTTCTAGCACACACCTGCACTTTAGTCCAATTAAGCTCTAATTAACAAGAGAACCTCTGCTTCTTAATGGCGGCATTGGAAGGTTTTCGGCAGGCAAAGTGCTTTTGCAGTCAATGCTTCCCTGGCCCCTGCATTCCATGCCAAAGTGAAAGCCAGGTACTGAAATGAACTGCAAGTGAAGCCCATACGCCATCCCTGGGGGGAATTTGAAAGGATAATTACCCTCAATCATCCTGGTTTCTCCATCGCCTACTCTCTCCCACTGTCATGGGGGCTGCCTCCATTAAGGCAGTGCAGAACCAGAAGCCAGCACAAGGCTGTCCTGCAGTGCTGAACATCAGAGCACCTTGCAGCAGGGATAAGTTGCATACCATCCTGAAGGACACTTTGAAATAGAGGAGCCGGACTTGCAGACTAAGGGCCTAAGTACACATTATAATGCAGCTATGTTTAGCACTAGCCAACCACCTCTGTAGGCAAGACCAGGCGGGGGTGTAATATGCAGCAACTTCATTTCTTCCTGCCACTTTTACTGTAATCCTTCCTCCAGGCACTTTTACCCCAATGGTGTTCCATACAAATGCTCACCTCATAAACATGAGGCAGGAGGCACATAGGGGGAAATAATGTGAGGGAGATTTCAGGGGGAAAGTGGCAAGCCATATTTTTCCACTGCAAACCTCTCACTCACAAGGCTACTTTGTTTGCAGTAAAGAAGCAGCTACTGGGCAAATACTACAGAAATGGTACAGAAGGCTGTGCTGTAACGTGCAATTTTAGCCCTTTAGCTGCTTAACAAAAGTTCTCTGGTGCGGGAAAATTAGAGAGAAAACACATTTTAAAATATGCACAGTAAACTCACATTATATATACTTATATAGCATTGGCAAAGAAACCCAGCAGAGAGGTTAATAAAGTTCACCACACACACAATGTGAAAATAACCACATCTTTCTAGTTTTATCCTCTCAACTATCAAGATGTGGTTTTGTGTAATTCATGATTTGCCCATTATTGTAGCCTGATCAAATCCCAGCTATGCAGCTCTTACATGTTAATGATGAATATTATCATGGACACTGAAGAGAGAAGCAGTTTTCAAAGTTTGGAAAACCATCACATCATGGCCAACCACAATAATTCTTCCAGAGCATCATCTGCATCCTGTTTATGTAAGCTCTGCTGTGGGAGAAACCATATGTTGTATGTGATTTCACCTTTACTGCTGCATCTGTTCCTAAGAGAGAAACTTCTGCTACTATTTTGATTTCCTGGGGAAATTGGATGCTCATAATCCGGGAGTCAGGAAAGAGCTCCTTGCATCCTCTCTAACTGAAAAGATGGGTAACTGCCATGCATAAAACAGCTGCAGACTTACTAAAAATATCCTGTATCTCATCCTAAACCTTTTCCAGAGGGTAGCTATTGTAGCAAACACAACTCAAGAGTCTTGTGCCACTTAAAGCCTAAAACGCTCATTATGGTGTAAGTTTTCATTGACTAGACTGCTTTATCTAATGCCATCACATGCTATCCCTCAGCTGGCATCTCAAACCAGCTGACTCAGAAGGGAGGAAAACTGGCTGCAATGGGACTTACTTTTAAGATTGCCAGCTTTACTGGTTTTGCTGCTGTGCTTTAATGGAATCAAAACATGCAGAAATTAAACAAGCGTATCTCAATGCATGACTTTTATCTCCATGCAAAGAAAAGCTCCACCTTCTTTATTTTTGTATGTCAAGCTGACGTTTAAGCCATGGAACATCAACAGCCGAGTGTTGATTCCTGGATGTGGACTAGGTAGGTGCAAGCATGGCTGGTGGAGGCAGGGGCCAGGAACCTTTTCGAGCTCCTGAGGCCAATGGCTGGGCTGCAGAGGGAGGGAGGGAAGGAGATAGGGTGGTAATATTGGGTGGCTTTTCAGGACACAAACTGTGAGGACAGTTGGGTAGGTGGCATGTGAAATGCTGGCGACAGCCGAGAATGAAATGCATGGTTCTGGAGGCAGCTGACAGGGTGAGCAGGGATTCACTATATATTGCCAGCTCAAAAATTCTGAAATAAAACAGGGTCAATCTAAAGGGTCAATTTTACAGCTAGCCTCTATTATCTGATAAGGTTCCTGTGTATAATACCAGTAGAATAGGCAGAAATTCAGCAGATAAAAGTTTTACACAGTGTGTTTGCAAACAAGGAAAAGAGATCCAGCTCCTGAATTCATATGTTCCTGGACTTCCCACTGTTGCACCCGGAGTTATTCCTTGCTGCTCTTGGAAGAGCCATTATCTCAAGCAGAGAACTGCTGGTGATCTGGGTTCCTGTGGTGGTGGGGATAGCTGCAAACTTGAAACTGTAAACTTGATCAGCCCCAGAATCTATTTGCAATACCAGGACTGAATTCTGGAAGATGTGAAGGGATTGTTTTCAGACTGTTTCTCAGCAGGTTCAGAGTGTCTTTTCCTCCCTGTTGAGCAACTTCGGATTGAGGAGCACAGCTTTCAGAGGTCAGATGGACTTCAAGTTCTCTTTAGACTGATGTTTTAAACCAATTCCAAATTTGTTTTATGTGCATATACATGTGAAACTCTGACACACATATTCATGATTAGATTGAAATATATAGGCTCCTGTCTATATCTTCTTGGGCAATTATTCTGGTTCCAGTTTTCATGTCAGCTTTTAGCTCCTTGATCTTTCTCTTTTGATATGGTGCTCTGAGGCTTTCATGGTCTTTGCAGCTTTACTACTGGGAGCAGAGGTGATTATAAGAATTCTTTCCTGTATTCTTTTTGCATAAAACAAATAGATTTAAGTTCAAAGACTTTGAGAACCAAACCACAGAGAGAGTTCGCTGTGAGTAAACAAAACAACAGCTGCAAATAATTCTAACTGGGAGCTCTATGCAGCCATAAAGTAAAATACAGCAGAACAACCTTCATAAAAAGAACCTTAGGAAAACAAAAGAAGAAAGAAGAACTCAAATCCTGTGTACAGAATAGATGGGTGGTTTGATACAGAAGTGGTACATATCAGGATCATTACCTATAAACAAGTTAAACAAGGGCTGTTTCAGTTGATTTGTTTTTGCAGAGATAGGAATAATAATAATAATAATAATAATAATAATAATAATAATAATAATAATATATTATTATTATTTTTTATACCCCGCCCATCTGGCTGAGTTTCCCCAGCCACTCTGGGCAGCTCCCAATCGAATGTTAAAAACAATACTGCATTAAATATTAAAAACTTCCCTAAACAGGGCTGCCTTAAGAAGTCTTTTTAAAATAGGAGAGCTGCTTATTTCCTTGAGATCTGAAGGGAGGGCGTTCCACAGGGCGGGCGCCACTAGAAGGCCCTCTGTTTGGTTCCCTGTAACCTCACTCCTCACAGTGAGGGAACTGCCAGAAGGCACTCGGCGCTGGACCTCAGTGTCCGGGCTAAATGATGGGGGTGGAGATGCTCCTTTAGGTTTACAGGACCGAGGCCTGTATACTGTATATGCCTTTGTATGTGAGCAAAAACGCTACACTGATGATGCTTGGCATGGGGACAGGGTGAGTTTCTATTCCAAATGGCATTTGGGATCCAAAACAGGGCCAGGAATATTGTAGTGGGTTTCTGGGCTACTTCCAGAGATGGTCTGTGAGGCTGGGGCTCCACTAGGGCAGTGTTTCCCAACCTTTTTTGGGCAAAGGCACACTTGTTTGATGAAAAAAATCTCGAGGCACACCACCATTACAGCCCCGTGACGTCAGCGCGCAGCGTCACGCCGGGAGGGACGCACGAAAGTGTAACTTTTAATTTTTTTCCCTCCCCCTTGCCGGGGAACCTCCAAGCTTTGGGGGTGGGGGGGAGGAGGCAGCAAAGCGAGGGACTGAGGGACTCCTCCAACGACAAGGGTTGGGGAAGAAGAGAAAGGGCTATTCCGCTCCAGTCACGGGAGGGGAATATGTACTGGCCCAACTGGTGTGCGGTCTTCGGAAAGCGGGGTGCGGGAAGGAAGCCTAGGCTCGGGGTCCACCGACCTCGGCGGAGAAAGGCAACAACCGGAGCCGATGACGAGCTGGCGCGTGCGTGCAGCGGCTGGCCTCGAGCTCGGGAAGCTGCGCGCGGCGATGTTGACGCAGGGCGCGCGAGAGCTTGGGGGCGGGGCGGGAGAGAGAGAGAAAGAGTTGGCAGCACCAGGCGCTGTTACTTATTGCGCTGCGGACGCTGCCAGCAACTGCGGTGGTTGTGCGGTGGCCGCCGCCGCAGAACGTCCTCGTCAGTCAGCTGAGCTGCCTGGCGGCGTAGGGAGCCGAGGGGCGGGGCTTCCTTTCTGAAGGAGCTGAGGGTGGGGGTCCTCCGGCGCCTTCGGCGAAACGGCGCCGGCCCAGAGCGCTTCTAGGAGGCTGCCTTTGTGCGCGACGTGAAGCCCTCTTTCCCTCCCTCCAGCCCCGTGTCACATGTGGAAAAGGGGGCTGGATCCAGTGACGCAACTCGGAAAACTGTTAGGGAAGCCAGAGCAGGAAAGTGAGTGGGAGGCGGCGGCGCCGCTTTAACCCACGTTTCCTTTTTGAAAGAGAAACCAGTGTTTCCCAACCTTTTTTGGACTCGCTCGCGGCACACCAGGCAACATCTCGCGGCACACTAGTGTGCCGCGGAACACCGGTTGGGAAACACTGCACTAGGGCACTGTGTTGCATGCTCTGCATGCAAAAAGCGAGGTTCACAGCTTTGAAAGAAAACTTACCGTATTTTTCGCCCTATAGGACGCACTTTCCCCCCTCCAAAAATGAAGGGGAAATCTGTGTGCGTCCTATGGGGCGAATGCAGGCTTTCGCTGAAGCTTGGAGAGTGAGAGGGGTCGGTGCACACTGACCCCTCTTGCTCTCCAGGCTTCAGGAAGCTATCAGCAAGCCTGGGGAGCCTGCGGGAGTTCCCACAGGGCTCCCTAGGCTGCGGATAGCAGCCTGCTGCCTGGAGCGCGGGGCGCACTGAAGCAGAGCGCCCCGTGCTTCGGGCAGATATCCGCAGCCTAGGGAGCCCCTGGGCGGGGGGAATAAATTTTTTTTTCTTTATTTCCCCTCCAAAAAACTAGGTGTGTCCTATGGGTCGGTGCGTCCTATAGGGTGAAAAATATGGTATTCCCCTAATAATAATTAGAATTTTTTTTTTACTGATTCAGACCTATTCTGGAGCACCTCAGCTTGTGCCTGTGCCTTCACTTCACTCCTCTCCCCTTCAATGAATTAGAAGCAAAGCCACCACTCCATCCTTTGAACTGCTACAGTCCCAGAAGAATCAGCTAAGACGATCCTTCACTATATGTGCATGTGAGATGTCTGTAAGACTTTACATTTTGCAAGCTTGCATCAGTCCTACCTAACATTGTCATGTCTCTGAATGTAAATTTTATGGAAAATCCTTTCAGGTGGCTTCAGGAAATCTTCCTTCATTTCCATGGCAACATTCCTGGGCAAAAGACTCATCAGAAGTCGCTCCTAAAAGTTAAACAAAAACAAAAGCATAGTTGTCAAAACTGCTATTAAGCTTGAATAGTTCATCTGATCAAATTTGTATGCAGGATAACATCGACACATAAAATCAAGCAAGGAATCCCAATTAGAAAAACCTCAAGCATCTAAAATGTTGATCATGACACCAAGGCATTTAATATTTCTCAGTTCCATCTAAAGATCTAGCTTAGTGCGAACCCCCAGTTTCCTGGAGAGAAGATTGCTTTTTTAAAGTAAGAGGTTTTAGTGATTTTTCAGTGTATAGACCCAATTACAAACAGCCCTGGAGAGAAGATTGTTACTGCTGCGCTCCTCCCTTGGTCCTGCTGCCTTGCTACCTAAGTCTAAGCCAGGTAGCTTAGGTTTGGCATTAGTCCATCATCTGAACTTGGGGGTGTGGTTTATTTCACTCTAGACACACCATAAGCTGTAACCATGTCTTGTTCTTTGTTTATAGCTCATAGTTTGTCTGGAGCAGACCAACCACAAACCTGGAATCAGGTGACATGCTAAGCCAAGCCAAACCACAACTCAGCCCCAGAGAGCACAGCAGCAGCAGAACTGGGGGAAGAAGCACAGCAGCTGCCATCTCCTCTCCAGAAATCTGCATGTTCAAACTGAGCCTCTAGAGCAGCCTTTCTCAACCCTGGGCTCCAAAATGCTTTTGGACTGCACTCCTATCCTTCCTAGCTATCAGGATCAGTGGTCAGGAATTATGGAAGTTTTAGTCAAACATCTGTGGACCCAAGGTTGCGAAAGGTTGCTCTAGCGTCTGGTCTGATACTGTCTCTTAGGAATATGAGGTTGTGACCTTGAAATTAAAAATTATATTTTCCCTCCTGCCAGCGCTACATAATGTACTTCTCCTTGTGTAGACTTGTTTACATGTATACAGTATATGACATAACAGATGTATGAAATCTGATACACAGTAGTATCCAAAAGCTCCAACGACAAAGTGCCAAATACTCATTTTTACCAATGACATGTTGCTGTCTTTCATTGATACATGTTGTGGTAAGTATCAGAAAATTAACCCTTCTGGCCTGGACATGGTGCCATGAGCACTGACTCCCCTCTCCTGGCTGCTAAGTATTTTCGGGACAGCTAAGTTACCAGACTGTGTGAACAAAGACTTTCACTACTTGGGTAAATATTTCCTTTCCTATTCCACGCTACCCCTAATCTTGAAGAGGATTAATTATGAGCACTATGAATACCAGAATTAAGTAAGAAACAAACCCAACTGTGCAAGCAATGGCTGAGCCAAAAAAAAGATGGGGGGGGGAGGCGGCTGGAAATGATATAAATACTAGTGCCTTACAAACCAATGCAGAAAGATCTCGCTGAGATTAAAAAAAGATATGGCTGAAGTAAAAACAGAGCTTTCAGAGCTGCACAAAAAAAGAATGAATTTGAACAACATTTGAATATGCATGAGATGGTTACACAAGCGAATCAGAGTATTGCAGATAAGCAGATCTCACTCTTGGAATCCCAAGTAAAGAGTAATTGGCATCAGATGCCCTCCTTCACAAAGAGAAGCACTTATGGAAGACTTCTTTTAAAAGCTGCTATCTCTGCTGGAAAATCAAAGCATTGAAATCAAACAAATCAAGGAGTCTGATGGAGGTGTGGAGGAGAACTAAAAGTCTTCTGGAACATAAAACCTCCTTATGGTTATCACCAATGGAGACTTGAGCACATAAACAAATATGCAATGCAAATGGGCTATATAAAGAGAATTAAAGAGTTTTCAGGACAATGAATGTGAGTTCAGTGGGTAATGTGAACTCAGTGGGTAACTGGTTCCAATATCATAAATTAAATGAAATCTATATTTAAAAAAAGATTTTAAAAATGGATTTGAAGAACAAAGGTCAAACTTTGAAGTAGGTTTATGTGAAAATTATGAGAAATTAATTGGAAATGTAAGGGGTCATTCTATCATATGTGGTGAACCTGCAGAAAAGCAAAGACCTTTGGGGACATGATATTAATGAAATTAAGGGGGGGGGGAATAAAGTGACTTTTCCTAAGAGACCAGAATCCTTCCTGCTGGGGATACTAGACAGCGAAATCCCAAAGAAAGCCTCAGCAGTATTTACCGTATGTATGTGACTGCAGTGGCAAGGATTCTCTATGCACAGAAATGGAAGGAGAAGAGAACACCCTCAAAGGGAGAATGGCTGATGAAAATCTTGGAATATGCAGAGATGGCAAAATTGACAGCATTGATAAAAGATACAAATTTAGAATATTTTAAAGAAGATTGGAATATACTAATCTATATAAAAAGTTATTTCCCTTATGTGAATACCACAGTGGGGTTTGAAGTGTAAGAAAATAACAGAACGTATTAAGAAACATGTTAGAGAGAATGAAATTAGATAAGATGGAACCTGAAAATGTGATTGTATGTAATTTGGGTTATAAACATCGATGTTGGGAGAGTGGGAAGTCACTAGTTTGGTTGAATTGGAATATAATTGTTGCGTAACAAAAGTAACTTTCTATATGGAATATATATATATATTCATATATATATATATAGAGAGAGAGAGAAATAAACCAAGTCAAGTTTATACTGGTAACAAGATGGAAAACTGTGACTCATTCCAACATTATAATTGCTCAATTTCTGTGAACTAATGTAAGAGACAAGATCCTAAGTATTTTCCGTCAAATGTCCCTTTCTTCACCCTTTGTATGGGAGGACAGCAAGATATAATTTTCTCAGATTTCACCCAAGAAGTTTCATTGCAAGGGGAAAAAATTCCCCAAAGCCTGGCAACTGGAAAATTTCACACTGTTCCCAGCAAAATTTTGCATAAAAATATCAGGACCAAGCTCATAAGTTTGAGGTTTCTGAAAATGCAGAAGCATTTCTGAATACAGTGGTACTTTGGGTTAAGAACTTAATTCGTTCCGGAGGTCCGTTCTTAATCTGAAATTGTTCTTAACCTGAAGCACCACTTTAGTTAATGGGGCCCCCCCGCTGCCACCGCGCAATTTCTGTTCTCATCCTGAAGCAAAGTTATTAACCCGAGGTACTATTTCTGTGTTAGCGGAGTCTGTAACCTGAAGCGTCTGTAACATGAAGCGTATGTAACCTGAGGTACCACTGTACAATCAAATCTACAATAAGTTAAACATCCCCTGCAGAACCTGAAAACATTGACAAATCTCTTGCAGCAGTCCCCTTCTCTCTTTCCACTTTGCATCGCAAACAAGTCTCCACCATTATGGTAAATACATCCACAGACGGAAAAGAGAAAAGAAAGCAAAGAAAATAGGCAAACTCTGAAGCACTCTGCCATTACTGCATCAACTTATCAAGACAGTCTGGGAAGAATTCCAGAACAAGCTTGGTATTTTCAAGGACTGGACAATATTGTATCTAAATTATTGCCAGCTAGGAAACTTATCCTTAAGGCTTGGAATTACTCTCAATATTTTGACAGCGAAGAGGGGACTTTGTGAGCAATGCCAACACATTCTGGAAGTCATATATTTATTTTTCATTTCTGTATTAATTCCATCACTTATTTAGTTTTGTTCTCTTTTTTATTGTTTAGCTATAATAAAGTTTTTATTTTTCCCTTAAAAAATATTTTTCTTTCTTTCATTCATTCATTCTATTTCCTTCTTTTTTATCAACCTTGTTTTAGCTTTTTTATATATTTTATACGTTTTTTCATATATAATTATTTTGCATTAATTTAATATATAGTTGTGTTTCTTATTTTTATTATTTTACAATTGTTATTTCTGACTTATTGGTTGATTTGGAAATAGACTATGTACGTAGGTAATATTTACTGAACTTGGATTTAAATACATATGATAGATTCTTATCCACAAATATTATTATTGAATATGATCCATATCTTTAAATATGGATAATTATATTTCTTGATTTGATTTATAGATTGAAAGAAAAATGTAAATATGAAGTTTGATATACGGATGCTAAGAAATAATTGGAACAAAGAACTGGAACTTTCAAGATGACCCAGACAGTGGGAAAGTGTTTTAGCCTCGGTATCAAAGGTATCGATGGATCTTAAATTAAGACTTATACAACAGAAAATAATACTTAGAATTTACTGGACTTCTTTGTGTTTGTATAAAAAAGGAGTAGCTAAAGTAGCTCTTTGTTGCAGATGCAATAAGGCCAATGCCTATTTGAAACATGTTTTTAGAGTGTTCTATACTTACTAATATGTAGATAGGCAGATGACACAACCTTGATGGCAGAAAGTGAGGAGCAATTAAAGAATCTTTTATTGAGGGTGAAAGAGGAGAGCGCAAAATATGGTCTGAACCTCAACATCAAAAAAATGAAGATCATGGCCACTGGGCCCATCACCTCCTGGCAAATAGAAGGGGAAGAAATGGAGGCAGTGAGAGATTTTGCTTTCTTGGGCTCCATGATCATGGCAGATGGTGACAGCAGTCACAAAATTAAAAGATGCCTGCTTCTTGGGAGAAAAGCAATGACAAACCTAGACAGCATCTTAAAAAGTAGAGACATCACCTTGCCAACAAAGGTCCATATAGTAAAAGCTATGGTTTTCCCAGTAGTGATGTATGGAAGCTAGAGCTGGACCATAAAGAAGGCTGATCGCCGAAGAATTGATGCTTTTGAATTATGTTGCTGGAGGAGACTCTTGAGAGTCCCATGGACTGCAAGAAGATCAAACCTATCCATTCTTAAGGAAATCAGCCCTGAGTGCACACTGGAAGGACAGATCCTAAAGCTGAGACTCCAATACTTTGGCCACCTCATGAGAAGAGAAGACTCCCTGGAAAAGACCCTGATGTTGGGAAAGATGGAGGGCACAAGGAGAAGGGGTCGACAGAGGACGACAAAGAGTCGGACACGACTAAACAACAACATACTTACTGGGAGAAAGTGCTGGATATTCTTTTGAATGGCTTTGCAATCTAGCAAAGAGACCTGGTGGCTCCATTTTGAACAG